ATCGTAGTCCAAAGAGGATGGTTGCAGGAGACTCCAGTCGCTGACCGATTGTTTCTCAGTAAAGCCCCTGCCTCGCATCGCAACCCCCCGCGCTCCGCCCGCGCCCTGGCTGCGGCCGGCCGCAGAGACAGGCTCGCACTTGTCGGGGCGCAACCCCTCACCGAGGCGGCGAGGCAGCGGGGGACGAGCGAAAACGGGGGGCTGTAAAGCAATTTGTGCGTTTGGCGTTTGGAAGAATCGTGAATCATGTTGTCCTGTGTCGGCGGGCGTGCGTCGTGCGCTCAGCTCTCCGAGCGGCCCCTTCATCCTCCCCTACCGCCCCCCACCCAGGTCCGGCAGCACTGCTCTCGTTGCTGTGGCTGTAGCGTTGCTGTGCGCCCGCTCCCCCCATAGAAACGCTGCGGATCCAGCATCATAGCGCTGCACTCTCCATGTTCTGCATTACGAGGAATTTTGTCTGCTCCGCTACCGCTCCCTTTTCTGTAGTGGCGCCTTTTCTGCACCGCCCGGTTCACCTTTTCGGCCAAGTCCTAAGGGACGAGGGTTGGCGGGCTTCTTTTGCGTTAGTCTCCAACACTTCCGCAAAAACTTTGCGTCTATTACCCGCCCCCTTTTCCTCCACATTCCCAGTGCCTTACCAGGAGGCCAGTCGGTATACAAGGCTCTCAATAGGCGTCGCGATTTGCGAGCCTCCCCCCCCCCCTCCCTCGACTGCCGGGACTCGCGGGGGTGCGTGGATGGCATGGCCCATCGCTATGATGGGTGGCCGCAGGAGCCGTGAAGTTCTACCGTTTGCGTTTGCGCCGCGTTCCTGGTCGGCTCGGCCATCATAGCGAATGGGCGAGTGGGGTAGCGGTGGTGATTGCGACGGTTGAGCATAGGACGGACGTCCTTTAGGCGCCCGAAAGTGGGAGTGAGTGAGAGGGAGCTGTATGCCCCCCCCCCCCCAACCTCCTTTCGGACGCCATGTGATGTGGGCATCCATCGGCTGCAGTGCTCTGGTTCTGGTGGTGAGCGCGCAGCCGGCCCCTTTTGACTGCGGGGAGGTGGGAACGACGAAAGTCGCCGAATACAGTCCACACGCCGCTAGTGATACGCCGTCTTTAAGCTTAAAATCTTGAGAGATTCGAAGATGTGTGTTTAAATACTCTAGGAAACAGTATCAATAACATCTCGAATGGAAGCCCCCCCCCCCACTTTTTCTCGTCCGGAAGCACCTCCCCGGGAAGGGGGCCTCCCTGACCTCCCTACTTGCGGATTAAGCAAGGAGCCAGACACCTACACTCTGGTTGCAAGGGTACTGGTACCGAGCTCTTTTCGTGCGCAGCTGTGGCAGTACTGCGCGGCGCGCCCCGCCACCCCTCCCCGCCACCCGCTCGGGCCCGGGCCGGTGCACCGCGGAGGGACAGTGATAACGCCGCTCGCCGCCGGGGAACCACGTCGTCGCGAACGGGTTGGGCTACGCGGGCCACAGTCGCGGGTCGCGGGGCGGTGTGTTCAGGTCGACGGTTTGGACGTGGTGTGGAGGAGATCGGAGAGCCCCGCGCGGACCTATGCCCGCCCTGAGCATGGCGGCGGCCGCGGTGTCCCACTGTCACGATCCCGCAGGGCAGGCAAAGATCGACTGCTGCCAGAACGACGGGCTCGTGTCGTTCTCGGTATCGCGTGGCGTGCAGGAGACCGGGGCCGTGATCCTCGACGCAGAAAGCGAGGGTTCGACTCCCCCGGCCACCCTGCCGGACCAGGCCGAAGACGGGGACGAGGCGGCGACGGACCATGTCGTACCCGTGGGGGACATCGATGCACCGAGGCCGCCGAAGCCCCACCACCCCGCTTGCCGCGGCCTGCCGCACCGCTATCGCAAGGTGGGAGGGGGCTTTGGCTGGCGGCCGAGCCTGCCGCACGCCCTGGAGGCCCCGACCATGCTCGCCCCGGGGCGGGCAAGGTCCTGGAGCTGGGGTGGCTGCGGCCTGGGCGGCTACTTGCCCGTCCATTGCGTAAGTTTGGCACAAGTGCAAAGTGCGCTGCGAAGAGAGATTTGGGAGGGGGGGAGGGGGGGCTTCCAACCTGTGAAGGCCGTAGGGTGCGACACCATCGCTTCGCGAGATAAGACAATGAAGAAACTCGTCATGCAGTAACTGTCCCCTGTCTGTACACTTTTTTTTGTTCGAGTATCAATCTGCACTCGGACTTCCGATGTATTTGCCGATGCCCCCCCCCCTCCAAATCACACGCATGCCGTCTTACTACAATCTAAGCTTTCTCCGCGCTTTAGTTTTGCCGTGGGTTTGCCTGCTCAGTACGGTCGGGTTGCGCTGCGGGTGCTTCAAAGGTATCTCCAGCCAGAGGGGGTGGCGGGCAGGCGGGCTCGAGCCTCGAGCTGACGACCGACACAGGCCAGGGGGAGGCGGACCGACAGCGGCGTGCGGCAGTTCCGCGAACTGGCGACGCATCTCCTGGTTAATTCTGTCGGTAGAACGAAGCGATAAGCTAGTGATTCTTGTTTTTAAATAGATGAGCACTGAGTGTTGCGGCGGGGTTGCCGTCTCTGGTCTGGTGTGCCGTCGCGATGCCCCCTCTTAAGCTGAATAAAGAGTTCCGGCAAAGCGGAAAAGAAGGAGAATGAGGGGCACAACAAAACGGACATCACTATGTTGTAGCATGGTGACTTCCGTTTTCTTGTTTCCCACGTCCTTCTCCATTCCAGCTTTACCGAAATGCTTTATTGAGTTCCTGCTTACAGCTTTCAGTCTCACTTAACACTTAACGTGCGTACCCCCCCCCCCCCCCCTCTTTTCCACCACAGGCGCACCTCGCTGAATGTAGGGGGTCTTGATTTTCGTCATAGCGCTGAAAAGATCAGGGTAGACTTATGGCCCTTTGTAGGTGGCTGCACGATGTTGATCCTTAGCACGAAAAATGTCAAGTGCCCCCCTCCCCTGGGCGGTGCGACCTCATCGGGTTACTTGTTGTGCTTCCTCTGTGTGAATGCTCGCGATACGCTCTCGTTGTGTTCTGGGCTAAACGCTCACCCGACCTCTGAACAAACGTGTTTGGTGCCTGTTGGAGATCGACATGTCCGCCCCATTCAAAGCCCTGCGCTTTCGCCAGCACAGTTTGCGCTGCCCCCCTGTCGCGTCCACCCTGTCGCTCGTCGTGCCCATGGTGCCAGTTGCTGGAGATGGACATGTCGGCCCAGTTTGAGGCACTGCCTCCTGCTAGTTCGCCCCCAGAGAGTGTGCAGGCAGTGCAGGTGCCCTCCCAACGTCTTCAGTTTGCGTCCGCCTTGTCGCTTATCGTGCCCGTGGTGTCTCTTGTTGTTGCAGATGGACATGTCCACCCTGCTGACTGCTCTGCCGCCCATAGGGCCACCTCCACACTGTATGCCTCCACAGCCCCACATTGGAGATCACCAGTTTGAGACCCAATTGCGCCTGCTGGATTTGATCAATAAATCGGGCTACCAAATTGAACAGTTCAACGGGCAGAGGCGGACCGGCCCGCCCAGTGACTGGATGGGACCCTCTCCAGCACCTGGCTCGGAGATTTTCATCGGCAAGATTCCAAGGGACTGCTACGAGGACGAACTCTTCCCGCTGCTGATGCCACATGGTGCGTTACTGCTTCGGGGCGTTTAAATGCTTTGCTGTGTCACCCGAAGCCAACCGACTGCCTGCATTGCCCGTGTCTCTGATTGCAGGTCGCCTCTACGAGCTTCGGCTCATGATGGACTTCTCGGGGACCAACCGGGGGTTTGGATTCGCCCAATACGCCAACCCCGAAGAGGCCCGAGTGGCCGTACGCGCGCTGGACGGATACGAGATCCGGCCCGGCAAGTTTCTGGGTGTTATGAAGTCTATGGACAACAGGAGACTGTTCATCGGCGGTCTCCCAAAGGAGAAGACGCGGGAAGAAATCCTGGCGGAATTGTCGAAAATTGTAAGCAGAGTGTGTCTCGCCTCGGCCGCGGTGCCCTCCTCCTCGCCCTGAGTGTCACGCTGGTTTGGCCTTCCCTCTCAGCCTCCGCGGCGCCGGGAAGCGCCTGCGCAGCGTGGCATAGGCCACCAATCGTGCACCAGAGCGTAACGGGCGTGACAGGAGGGAGGCACCCTTTCGGTCTCCCACTTACTTTTCCTCCTCCTCAACAACATAGCTTCTATTTGAGTTTCGTTTCATTTTCAGCTGCCGGGAATTGATATAGTGGATGTCATTCTCTATCCCTCCGTGGTGGATAAAACCAAGAATCGGGGTTTTGCATTTGTGGAATTTCGAACCCACAAGGACGCCGCCATAGCGCGACGCAAGATGATCCCTGGCGGGGTGGTCCTCTGGGGCCACGAGTTGGCTGTGGACTGGGCCGAGCCGGAGCCGGAAGTCCCAGAAGATGTCATGAAGACAGTAAGCTGTCCTTTTTTGTTCACAACGGGGGTCTTTCGACTATTTGCACTTACTATTCATTTTTGTTCTCAGGTCAGAGTTGTCTACATGCGCAACCTCATGTTGAGCACTCCAGAGTCGACTATAAGGGACATCATTATTAGGGTGGCAAAAGTGCCTGGAAGTGCGATTGAGAAAGTGAAGAAGTTAAAGGACTTTGCATTTTTGCACTTCACTGAAAGGCACTATGCTGAGCTGTGCCTCAATAGGCTTGATCGTAAGTTTGGTGCAGATTGAATCTCAGAGCCCCTTTACTGTAAACGTTATCTATTTCTGTGTTCTTTACTTATGTCACTATTCTTTTAGGGTACGTAATTGATGGTTCTACTGTATCACTCGTGTGGGCTAAACCCCCAAGGGACCGAGTGCTCCACCGAAGGAATAATTCCTCCACTTCGGAAGATGAGGTAGCACCCCGGAGACATGTGGGTGTCGGTCACAGGAGAGCCATAACTTCTGGGTCTACCCACAGCCTTCAGCCGCCTTTCAATAGCTGGAATGTAAGTTGTGTGTGTGTTAAGAAAGGTGCGATAAGGTTTTGTTAAAGTGAGAACTGTTATGAGCCTCCTTTTTTTATTCACTTTCAGACTCTGGTTGCAATGTGTGGGTCAGAACCACTGGCGGATGTGACCAGCTGGCCAAGCCCCACAACTCCTGGTGGTCTTTGTTTTTTGGCAAGGGTAGGCATAGGCTGTGCTTAAGACTTGT